ATAGGAAATAAATTCTTCTCATCAATATTATTGTTAACTAAAAAACCTTCAACAAGAAATATTATATATATATATATAGGATTATTGTACTCACACTTATTTTTAGTTAGAGTATATTAACATTTTATACTAAAATTTTAGGAAGATCAATTATGTATTTAACCTGCTTCAAATTAGTTTAACTTGAATGACTTTTTAGGTGAACCAGTGAACCCATAAGGTAAGTGTCAAATGTTTGGGAGATGATTGTGGCACACTACATTAGAGTTGTCAACCAATCCGCAAATAAGATCAAGTTGAACCTTAAAATAGATGACCTAAATAGAATTAGGTTACGTTGGCCTAGTCTGCTAAGTCCAATAGGCCAACTAGGCCCAAGTCGGGCTAGTCATAGGCTTATGGTCCGTCCCGTTAAACTAATAAGTGGAATAATTTGAATTATTGTCAATTTGTAATGTATTATAAAATAATAGAATAAAATAAAATATAATAAGAGTAATAGTCTTTCACTTTTTTATATTCGCTTACAAAGTTTTAGTTACAAGCTTAGAATTAGGATTAGTTATTGTGAGGGTTTTGTCGCTCTTATTACACCCTTGACGACTTGACCTTGTAACCCATCATCTCTATTATGTTTGTCGAAGAAGACAAAGGCATAGTCGTGTTTGTACATGTGCTCATGGAACCGATACATGTAAGAGTAGGGGTAATAATGACGAAGATCAAGATACTAAAAAGGTTAAGAGACTAAACTTAATACCTTTGAGGTATGAAATTATTATGAAAATGTTGGTCTAATTGATGGGGTGGATAATATGCAAATGCAATGATTGTGAAAAATTGCATACATGTAAAACTATTAAGTGTTTCATGACAATATATAATATCAATTAATCATGTTATAATTTTTTTTGTAACAAAATAGATTTAATTTTTTAATGTATTTTTTTAATTAGGCCAATTTGGTTTGATAGTCCAACATGAGTCAAGTTAGGCCAAAAAATAGCAGTTCAAAAAAGATATAAGTTAGGCCAATTTAACCTAAAATATCATTTGACCCATGTAGATTAGACTTGTATTTGACACCTCTAATTGACACGTGAACTCTTGTTCAATGCAACACACCACTTATTCTTTTATATTAAAAAAGATGAAATAATTTTGGCTAAATCTCAACTCCTTTATATATGTAAATCCCCAAAACCACTGAACTAGCGTGATAATTTGATACTTTTGTTAATCTAAATAATCCTTATAGTATATCTTTAATTATTTTTTGACAAGATTGGGCTTGAAACTATAACACCTCAATGATCACTAAACTAACATGCTTTATATATAATTGAATTAAATAATTTATATTTTTTATTTTTTATTTAAAATTATATATTTAATTACATATTAATTTATGTGGTTCAACTAGTTTTTTGGTTGTTTTGTTAGTATTATGTTGATTATAATTTTTTTGAAACTTCTTTAATGCATGATATGAATTTTTTTTAAAAATAATTGAAATCGAGTCATGTGATTCTATTAGTGGTCCACAAATTTGACCTTTGATCCATTGACCTAGTAACTTAATCGATTTAATGATCAATTTGATTTTGAAAATGTTGTTTTTGATTCATTTATTTTGTAATGAGGATATCATAATAAGTTTATTTTGGCTTAATTATGTTTTTAGTCCTCCAAATTTTTGGAATATATTTTTAGTTTCCCAAATTTAAAACTTGTGTTTTTAGTCCCAAAATATCATAATTATTATTTTGGTCTCTCAAATTTAAAATTAATATTTTTAGTTTATGTAATTTCAAAAAATATTATTTTAGTCACTAATATCATAACTGATAATGACAAATTGAGAGAGACTAAAATATTAATTTTTAATATTTTGGAGACTTAAAATATAAGTTTTAAATTTAAAGGATTAAAATATTTTTTTTAAAAAAATTATAGGAACTAAAAACACATATTTTATTTGTTGTTGTTTTTTTTATGGATGGTTTTCCATGTCTACTCTTTGTTATGGTACATTCTTGGTGTGTTTAGGTTGCCCCTTAAGAGGAATGTACAGTTTTCTATTGATTTGATTCTAGGAGTGAGACCAATATCAATAGCTCCTTATTAAATGATTTTGACGAAGTTAGTTGAGTTGAGGAAGTCGATAGAAGAGTTGTTGGAGAACTAGATGTTTAAACAAAGTGTCTCATCGTGGGGAGTCCCAATGTTGCTCATGAAGAAGAGACTTGATAGTTCATGGTTGTGTGTGAGTTCGAGATTCATGAGGGGAGTTCTCTTACTTGAGATTTGGTTCGCTTAAAAATATGTGGAGGCATTATTTGTTGGGAACAAAGTTTAATATATTCAAAAATTATGAGAAGCAAATGCAAGTTTTAGAGTTGTGCAAATTAAGAAGTCATTGTGTACTGATCATAGGTCTATTAACTTCAGTGCTATAGTTAATGGTATCTTGAGTTATAGAGGTGGAGTATGTATTCCTTAATAGGTGGAGTTGGTAAGAATAATTTGATGGTTTGGTCAAGGTGAGGTGTGATGATGTCACAAATGAGAGCCTTTGGGAGTTAGAGGAGAGGATGAGAGATCTATACCTAGACCTTTTCTCGAGCACATGAATTTTTTGGAACGAAAATTTTTGTTGTTGGGGAAAGTTGTAACTCCATATTTTCTTAATTATGTATATGTATGAGGAATTTTGAGTTGTATGAGGTGTGGAGAAGAAGAATTATGAGATACATGTGTTATTTTTTATGTGGTCAGTTGGTTTTGTTGAGAGAATGTGATTTCCATGGAGGAACATTGTGTTCTCACTCAGCAAGAAGTGTATGGCCACTCAATGTTCATGCATTGATGAAAAACACAAACTCAATTTTCATATTTTTGCTTAGTAGTGAGTTTTGGTCACTCAGTGAGAAGCCACGTAATGCTCAACTCACTCAACGAATAAAAAATTATCAAATTAGGCTTTGTGATCTACATGAAAGTTGTAGCCCTATATGTTACCTTTAAAATGACTTTGAATCATCCAAAAAGAAGGTTTAAAACTCAAGTTATGATCTTTTTAGTGAGCAAAGGTCCAGTTGCTAATGATTCTAATGATTGATCTCAAGAAGCCTAGTGCTTTGTTGTCTTGGATGGAGATGTGTTTTTCTAAAAATATAGTTCTTCTTTAAACAATGTTGTATATTAAGTGAGTCAATTTAAACTAGTTGAAAAGTTATGTCTAGATTATATGAATCTAGACGTGGAGTTAGTATGTAAGTCCAGGGTGGTTACCTAGGGTGCAACTTGAGTCCCTGGCCTTGTGCTAGAAGGATGTGTGGTATCTTGGGATTAGGCAATGAGCTGATTCCATAAGGGGCTCAATTTTTGCATACCAATGTTGTGGTAAGGCTTGTACCCAATTGTTCTATCCTCATAGTAATACTTGATCTTTTAGGTCTATGTTGATGATACCTGAGTGACTAAGACTATTACTATCTAGTAGGGTTGATTCAAGTTGATCATGCATATAGGAGACCTCCACTATTGGTGCATGATGATGCATGGTGCAAGTAAGCATGGTGTATGGTGTTGTGATGTATGCAATTTGTGGTATACAATGTTGTATAATGATATGGTTATTCATAGATCTCGATTGTCAAATTGCTGTTGATGTTGTGAACATTAAGGCTCATTGATTTTAGTTGTGCATATGATGTTGTATTGTGAAGTGGTTGTGCATTGATCCTTATGGTAGGAATTATATGATGGCATAATGAACATTGTGATAAGGCTTGGAGCTGTACATTGCGATTATATTTATATGCACTTCCATGTTATTATATATGTTGTTTTATCAAACTTACCTTGTTGTTTGCTATGTGACTATGATGATCATCATGTTTTGACATGGAAGCAAACCAGGTTTACCAAGAGGGTGATGGGTCAACTTGGAGCTTTTTTTGTTGACCATCTGATGGATGACGAAAGTTTGAGACAACTAGTCTCAAGACTTTATTTTGTGTTGTTTAGGACTGACTTAGTTGTTTAGTGGTTTTGTTGGTTGTATGTATGTGGTATATATATTCTAGGACTATAATCCATAGGGGAATTTTATTTTATTGCTTTGATGACTAGAAACTACTGTATTGCTCTTTTATTTCAGTCGATCATTGAGATTTTGAGGTACAAATATTGTACATGCATGATATTTAGGTTTTTGTTGCATGAAAACCTAGGCTAAATGAGTTAAGTTTTTCTACTACATTTTGTGTTGTTGTGGTGTTAGTTGTGCCCGTATAAGACTTACTGAATTGTTACAAATTTAAAAGTACTCGTGGTAGAACAAAATAAAATATCAAATTTTACGTTTAATTTAAATTTAACATTTACAATTATTTATGTTTAGATGTCATAATAGGATATTTATTATTCTTGATTGAAACAATTTAATATGATGAGCCGATTAGTATGATAATGATGAAAAAATGAAGAATTAATTTCTCACAACACAACTTTAACACCATAATTTGGGTCTGAACAAATTATTTAGACTTGTAACTTGAATTTCATAATTTAATATCATTGTATTAATATTTAATAAGATTTTATCATAATTTTAATATTTGCGATTCAATATCAAAATTTTAATTTAAAAATAAATAAATATATTTAAAAATAATAAATAAGAACTTGAAATATAAAATGTTCCCTAAGATGTAATTTTTTTTATCATATTATTGTTGAAATATACAAAACATAATTACATATAAGAATTAAAATATATAACTTCAAAAAAAATTCTAATCAAATTTATTAGAAATAAATAAAAATTTAACATAAATACATCTTAATGACTTAATGATATTGTCAATTACAATAAACCAAATCATCATATTTTGTCAAAGGAAAGTATCAATATAACAATGGTGTTTGAGAAAGTATCACATTTATTTGTATGGAAAAGATATCTATTTTAACAACTAATGTATATGTCTTGATGTCATTGTAATAGCTTGTAACAATGAAGATAACCAAAAATAAATTCTAAGAGATTTAACTTCTATACATTATTCATTATTCTAGTTTGCATTTGATAGCATACCAACAATCAACCAAATAGGATGGTACAAGTGACACCATATCCCCTTTAGGTCAAACAAATCATTTACAAATAACCAAACCATTATTAGGCTTAGGGAACACATTTGCTTGAGTATATTATGTAAATGTTTATACTATCAACTTTTATCATAACTACACTATTTTACTCTAGAAACTGTACTTAATAGCAATGTACTTGTTTTTTTTTTTTTTTGCATCCTTCAATAATTGAAATCGCCTCACAGTGGTTTAAGTTGATGTTTACATTGTTGTTGAGACCAATAGGCATGAGCAGCTAAGACCCTATCCAGAAGCTCTTGAGGAACAGGTTCTCCCCTCCTTTGCTGAGGGGAGATTCTAGCAGTGTGCACTAATGTCTTCCATTTATCCTGTATTATTCTCATAGTCACTCAAGAGTTATTAAAATGCAAATATTGCATATTTTGTGTGTGAGGGGGACAATTCTAGCACTTCAAGAAGTTCTCTAACAAGAAGAAACATAATAAAAATTTGATTGAAAAATTAGCAAATTTCAAAAAGAACTATCTACTACCCAATGTTATATGCTAGTTTTTCCACTATTTTTTTTAAAACAACCTAGCTTTTACTAAAGCAATGACAAGGAGAAAAGATTGTTATACCAACAAGATAAGTTTTGTGAATGGGATTGTCATACAAATTATGATATTTTTGTTCCTTTGGGAGGTCTCAACCCAAGAATGCATAGTGCATTGCATGAATTGCTCACCTTCAAATCAACATAAGTTCGATGTTTTGCATTGTCAAAGGCACGTTGCTTGACATCACGCCACCTACAACCAATAAGTAATTCAATACTACAATATTTAGTATTACACATTAACCAAAGCATCAAAGACAAAATCCCATTAACAAACCTTCCAGTTCCAAGTTTTTCAACTGCTTGAACCAATGCTTCTACTTCTAGAACAGAGAATGGCCTTCTAATTCGGCGTTGTGCAAAGTCAGGATTCCCAGATTTGCGTCGAAACGGAACCACAGCTAATGCCTCCATGTTAATGGCAGGAACCGCCACTAGAGCACGACACTTTGACATGTTATTATTAGCTAATGTATTTTCTTCTACAGAGGAGATCAAATTAAGATCACCCTCAACACAATTTTCAATTTTGATCATAGAACGTTCTTGGGATACATTGTATGTTCCTTGTTGTGACATTAAAGATGTTGATTGCCTATTTAATGAAGATCATGAAATTAGTAACTTCTGATAGGATTCTCAAAAGTAATTCCATGGATGAAAGGGCCAAGAAAGATAGATATCACATAAAAATAAGTTAAGAAAAATGTCAGTAACACATTCTTCTGATCATAGTTTTTGCTATTAGATGAAATTAGTTGGAAAAAACAAACTTCTGTGCATCTCAATGTCCCATTATTTATTTAATGAGTCTCTTAATTTTGTAGTTTTCAATAAATTTTAATAGTAGCAATAATGATTGGAAACAAGGGTTACCTTCCATAAGTTAATGCAAAAATGTTTGGTTGAAAGGTTACCTGGATAATTTTTGTTGTGAACTAGTGGTTAGAAAACAAGAGTCATCATTGTATGAAGATGGAGAAGTTGGAGTATGTCTTGGCTCCAACATGAATCCCAATCTATGACGTTTGTCATCTTGAGAAATCCCAGTTTGGATCAAAGTTTTGTTATCATCTCGGACTTTCTTTCCTTGGAAAAAGATGCCCACACGTAGTTCATCTCCAAGTATTGTTGTCACAGCCTCCATAACTGTCCTCTACAAATAATAATGATGATAATAACAATAATAATAATAAACATAGTGAGCATGAATAATTTACTAAAGTGATTATACTTATTTTATAATAGTTCATTTTAAATCTATTTAAATTTTGGTATGGAGACACGAGGACATATTAAAGGTAATTATTAGATTTAAGGCCCAAATTAGGCCCATAAATTTATCCTAATGTCTCAATTTTTTCTATGGTTTGCCTCTATTACTTTCATTCACACATGATGATTTCGACTAAATTACAAAATATTGTGCTCAAATCATGTCATTAATGCATCTCTCTCAGATAAAGATAATTACTTACTTTAAGCGAACCAATAGTTGCAGTTTCAGGCATATCAATAAAAAGCTCCGGAACTTTGAAGGATTTAATGCTAAGCTTCACTGCAAAGTGCAAATAAAAATTGTGTCAAAACTTTATATAACAATATGTTATCTAAATCATAATTAAATGTTGTTAATTATCTCACCATTACGACCCCTAGACCCAGAATGCACCTGATGACCAAATACCGAGGATGATTCTTCATTTACTGCACATAATAAATTTAATTATTCAAACCAGTATTAAATTCAAGCCTAAAAGGGAACATGAAGGACAAAAAAAAAAAAAAAAATTAGGAAACCAAGCATTATTGCACTCATACCATGGTTCATGCCATTAACCTTGGTATCAGAAGAATCATACATGCCTTGACATTGGGACCCCCTATCAGATGTAGAAGATGATGTTTGGTTGAAGAACTTTCTCTTCTTAAATGGATACATCTTTTGTAAATTTTCAAGCTCAGAATTGTCCCTACTATGACAATTCTTATCTGCAATGACAAATTTTTTGGAACTATCAATACTTATACAAAATGTGAACATTTTTGGAAATTGATTAACAATCATGAATATATGTATCAATGGAGATTTCTTGTTTCATAATTCGAAACTCTAAAAATTGATTGTGAAAGTTAATCTAAAATTAAAATCAATTGCAAGTAAAGTAACATACCACTCATAAAAGGAATTGCATCCTTCAATTTAGGCGTATCTGGTTGTGTGACAGATATCTTATTCTTGGACTTTAGTTGAGTGCATCTTACAAAGTTTTCGTCATCATCTCTATTAACTAACTTCCTAGCAGTGGAACCATTAGGAAAAGAATCAAGAAGCCTACGACCATTTAATAAAGGCTTTTTCTCCACATTATTTTCTGAAATGGGATCTGTAGATACTTTTTGGTCAAGTTCTATTAACCCACTCACACTTCTCCCTTTTACCTTTTCATCTTCCCTCTCAAGGACATTTTGTCCTTGGCCTTCAAGATGATTTCCAAAAAAAGATGAATCACCCATGACTCTGGTCAGAGAACCATAGAGGTGAGTCATTTCAAGTTTACAAAGCCATCAAGATGATTATCAATCACAAAAAAAAACCTTATCATATTATTTGGTCAATATAAGTTGATCAATGAATTAAAATTTTTCAATGTCATGCATATAGTCATTCAAATTTTACCTATGGTTGTCATGTTTCCCTTGCATGCTAGGGATACAAGTAGAGGTAATTTCACTGCAACTTCCATGCTCAAACAAGTCTCCCTTAAATGATTCCTCTTTATCCTTATTTTTGTCCTTTATGTTATTATTAGCAAAAACATGAGGATCTTTCGTAGGTGCAACATTGTCATAACTAGAATTCCCATTCTCTTGTAAGAAATTGCCAGCTACACTAGCCAAGATTTCAAAGGCTTGTATTTGGCTGCTACCAGGTTTCTTCTTGATTGTGCCCCTCCCCTAAACCATTTTATAGAATTATCAAGATGTTGAAACACTACACATAGTACAAGTCATTAGGAAATGTTGGGAAAAAGGGAAGAAATAATCATTTGCTTACCCTAGCTGACCTTGAAGCTCTTGGAATGACAGGCACTTGATAGCCATTAAAACCATAGTTTAACCTCTTTTGCAACACCATGTCTTAGATAATCACTCCTATAAGAAAAAGTCATTAGATAAAATGCAACTGGACTCCTTGATATTTGCAAACACCCAAGATCAGAACCTACAACAATAACATAATCAAGTTTCAGTCAATAATTATAATATCATATAGTATATTGCTGAGTTTTAAAAGAGATATCATTGTACCAATTTGCTTGTGAAAAATGTGTTTAAGGGTTTAATTCATTTAGTCATAAACATGTTTTTGATGCAAAGGCAAAGAAAAAAAAAACAATTTAATAACTATGTACAATAAGCATGCTTAGTTAAGAAAGTCAACAAGCATGAACTTCTCCGCGATTGGTAAAATTCATAAAACACTTTTACAAAATAACTAAGAGAAATGAAATTAAAATGAAACCAGAAAATGAACTGTTAAAGGGACATTAAATACAGGAAAAAAAAAAGTACCAATATCTACACAAAAATGAATGAATAATATTATAACATCGCATTCATGATAAAAAAACTCTTTTAGAATTGTTTGTATGATAGTCACATTAGCAACCATAGGAATCATGAAGATCCCGGATAATATAATATTCAAAAATTATAAAATATCAATATAAAAACGACATTGAAACACTTACGCTTGAGTGGATATTAGAAGAACACCCTTTCGACTCTTATTGTAGTCATTTTTTTCTGGTTTGAAAATCAAGCAAAACAAATACCCTTCAAAAAGGAGAAAAAAATAAATAGAAAAAAAAAACAAGAGGGAAAAAACAAACAAACACATCCTTGTTGATTATTATTCAAATACTAAAACATAAGTCAACATTGCAACATGATGATTATAATTACCCAAACACATTCTTATTGAACACAATTAAAGATAACACCAACAATAAGCAAATAAAATATTAGACATCACCAGAAAAAGAATAATATCATATATGATCAATTTATATAAGAAGTTGGACAAAAGAATCTTAAGACCCCTTGTAACCATTTTAAGGAGACTAACACATTAACAAGTTATAAATTTATTAACATGATGCACGTATGCGAGAGAAGGAGAGAGATTAAATTATAAAGAAAATATAGAAAGACAAATCAATAAAAGTGGGATATACATAAATGAAATGAATCAAGTACTAGAAAAGGAACCATAGTGAACCTAGAAAAGATTGGAGGAGAAGAGAGATGTGCAATGCAAATTATCATACTAATGAAGGAAAAATGACATCACACATTATGAAATTGGCTTCATTGGAAGAGTAATGAACAAGAGTACAATACCCATAAACGAAAACCTTTTTTTTTTTTTGTGTTGAAATATCCTTTCACCAAACAATGAAAACTTTTTGGGTTGTGTAAGGAATTGTGCATGAAAGGCAATATATAATTCTCACCTAGAGACTTGGGCTATTGTCTGATCAACAAAAACCCCTTGAAAACCATCCAACCTTGAGTTTGTTCTTAAACCCCTCACAACCCCAACTAGCTATTTGCAAAAGTTTGACCATTCATATCCTATGAAGGGACTAGCCGGTAACATCATGTCAGATAACTGGCTATAGAAGGTTGTGTCAACAAAACCACTTGGATGGATCGGTTCCTTCGTTTGGGGTGATCCACTCACTCCTCTCTCCGAGTCACTTCTTTGCTTCCCACGTGGAAGACTCTCCACTTATTTGGGTTTCATCTTATCTCATTCACATAACACAAAATGATTGAATGAGTTTCAAAACACAAACCACTTCTTGTCTGAATTTGTTAACTAGTCCCCAATTTTTTCAAACTCGTCACTTTATATAAATGTGATTAATTCTTTATTTTCTATTTTTCATTGGCAATGAAGACAATAAACTTTTTTTTTGTTAATAACACTTTAACCAACGTGTATTATAATGAGGACTTAAGTGCATAATGTTAAGAAAAAAGTCACATATATATACGTAAATAATTTATATATTGGCATTGTAATATATGTATGGTACATTTGTTAATTGGTATGATATTTTTTTTTCTTAAAAGTTATACTTACCGTGTTTTTATTGGTTAAAAGTGTAAAAAAGCTTATAATGACACAATGCATAAAAATTACACATTCTTTTAACGTTGCAATATGAACATTGCAGAAGTTAAACTACATTCCCAAATAGTAATGGCTCAAAGAAGTGATGTTTACATTAAAAAGAAAAGGCAAATAATTGTTGTATTTCATTAGCAATGAAACAATTTTGGTAATTTGTTGCTATTAATGTCTTCATATAGTTGCAATGGAACAACCCCAAGTAATACAATATAACGTTTTGATTATTCTATCATTGATATAAGAAAGAGACACGAAATTAAACCCCGTAAAAATTAAAAAATAAATATTTTTCTTTCTTTATTTCATGTTCTCAGTATGAACTTATTTTTTTATTTAACAAATATATTTTTGTAAACTAATTATATTTGAAGCACGGTTAAACACAAAATATAGACAAGATTTTAAGGTAAAACTATTATATGATGAAAATAATATAATTAAGAAATACTTATATTTTAGTAAGAAACTTTATATCTTATGAACATCTTTCACATTTGATTAATTTATCAACTATCTCAAAGTTTATGTTTCCATCATTTACGTAATCTTTCATATTTTTAAAAGGATAAGTCGATATTCTTTCATTTCAAAGTGAAATAAGAGAGATTTATTTATTTTAAAAATATTTATTAAATAGGCATTAAAAAGTCCAAATATTTTCTTTCATTAAATAGGCATTAAAAAGTCCAAAATATTTATTTAAAAATTAGTTGTGGATAAAAAGAAAAAGATCAAAGACACAAGTTAGAAAGAGAAAGAGTGATAAAGCAATGAGTGGTGTTACATGAGAAGAGGAAAGTGAGTGAAGGGAAGAAGATCACAAGAGTAAGACTCGGAGAGTGACCAGTCTCAACCTAATGCTATGTAACAAACAGTTAAATTAATTTGTCACTAGAAAACCAAAAGAGAATGTGTCTCCTTTTCATGTTTCATTGTTAAGTTGACACCTTCTTAATTCTAATTGCCAAATAATTTCCCTCATTTGTGGCTTGCTTCCACCAAAAACATTGGTGCTCCACTTTCCTTGCCTAAGTACACTTTCATCCATTCTTCTTTCTTTCCTCTGTCAACCTCTTCTTCTCCCTCTACTTTTCTTTTGTCAAAATCTATTACTTTTTAATGAATAAAAAAATATACACTGGAGAATTTTCAACTAAATAATTTAATAGTAAATAAAGCAACAAGCAATTGATATAAAAAAGATACATAAGTTTACTTAAAGATCTTCTGATATTCACTTGTGGAGCTCTCTCTCTATATATAAAAGTATGAAGTCAATTGATTATATATTAGTAATTATTCAGCTTTAATCAAATTTTACATGCAAATCATAGATAACATGTAATAATAACTTATTAGTGGTATTAATAAAAAAATCAGTAATACTGTAAGAATTAGTACTATAATTTATAATAGTGAAGATGCACTCTTTTTTATACGCACATAACTTAGATAATTTGAACTATATGGTCATATTGATATAGTCAAAATTTAAATTCACGTGACATTTAAAAGAAATTACATATATAAATTGTATTTTAAATTTTAGAACTTATAATGTGATTTAATATTTAATATTTATCTTTTATTTTCATATGGTAAAGTTATTCTTATATATATATATATATATAGAGAGAGAGAGAGAGAGAGAGAGAAGAGATCCATTTATTTTAAAAGTAAGTCTTAGTATACTTATTCCACTTAACTTATGTTTTATATCAAATTTTAATAATTCAGCTGTTAAATTAAAAATTCTTAATGCATAAATTAAGTTTACAAATTTTTAAAATATTTAAAAATTATTTTATATTTTATTTCATTAATTCAAAATAACAGATAATCGTAAGGTTATTTTATATATTAATTTAAATCTATTTAATGAAATATTATATGGTTTTAAAATTTTAAAAATATTTATAGACTTATTTAAAAGACTTATTCTAAAAAATGTGTTATATATCGAGGTTATCCTGCTTATCGAATTCTTTTGTTAAAATTATTTTTTTAAAAATTACCTATAAAATTTCAACAATTCAACTATTAAATTAATTTTTTTAATATATATATATATATAAAAGAAATTTACTTATTTCAACATTAAATTTTTGTAAAATTACTTCATTCAATAATTCATAATTTACATTGACTTTTTATGATTGAACTATTAAATTAAAAGTTCTTAACAAAATGAATAAATATATAAATTTATAAAATTTAAAACTATTTTATATTTTTGGTTCATTCTATCCACCGCCGATAGCAGTGACTAATCTCCTGGCTACGTTGGAGGCACCTCAAAGGGTGGGATAGTTGGCCCCAAGATTTAACGCGGCTGCATACACAAGGCAGGATTCGTGAAAAGGTCTTTGCTGTTGGACTTTACTGCTATAGTTGGTTGCTAGAAATTAGGAATCAGATTTTTTATTTGTTGTAAATAATTTCTTGTTTTTAGGCACCGTTACTTTTCAACTATTCATTTTAGTTTAATCATGTAATTATACGTGAGCAATTTTTATGCATTCCGTTAAGGGTTGTAAAGGCTATATAATAGCCTCTTTGAATTCAATAAAGGCAGGTTGCACGAGTCCATATATTTGATTACTTTCATTCTCTACAAACTGGTATCAGAGCCCCCACTAGGCCTGATACATATACCTAAGCCGCAGCTTAGCAAAAATAGATGCACGAAAATGAGTGACGAAAAATTGTCAGCAAAAATTCCCCACTTCGATGGTCTTCACTATGATCATTGGAGTGAATTGATGGAGAATCTCCTTCGTGCCAAGGGTCTGTGGAGCTTGGTTGAAAATGGTGTCGAGGAGCCTAGTGAAGGGATTGAGTTGACTGATGCAGAGTTGGAAACACCAGAATGAAGGATCACAAAGTCAAACATTATCTTTTTAGGGCCATTGATAGATCAATCTTCGAACAAGTCTTGGACAGGCGCACATCCAAGATTGTTTGGGATTCTCTAAAAAGAAAATTCGGAGGCAATGATCGTGTGAAGAAGTCAATGTTGAATGCTTTGAGAAGAGAGTTCGAGGTGCTTGAAATGAAAGATGCAGAAACCATTACTGAGTATTTTGCTAGAGTAATGGCAGTGGCAAACAAAATGAGGAGCAATGGAGAGGATATGCCTGACTCCAAGGTGGTGGAGAAAATACTTCGAACATTAACAGAGAGATTCACCTATGTGGTGGTTTCAATCGAGGAGTCCAAGGACACAGAAGCAATGTCCATTGATGAACTTCAAAGCTCTCTGGTGGTCCATGAACAAAAGTTTAAAGGAGTCGGCCAAGATGATGAACACGTACTCAAGGTGGAAAGCAGTAGAGGACGTGGAAGAGGAAGAGGAGCATACCGTGGTAAGGGACGTGGAAGAGGGAGGCAATCTTTCACAAAGGCCACGGTGGAGTGCTTTAAATGCCACAACTTGGGACATTTTCAATATGAATGTCCCCAGTGGAACAAAGAGGCAAACTATGTAGAATTGAATGAAGAAGAATAGCTCTTTTGATGGCAATTGCAGAAGAAGATAACATAAAAAGAAATGATGCTTGGTTCTTGGACTCAGGATGTTCTAATCATATGTGTGGAGACAAAGGTATGTTCTCAAACATGGTGGAAGTAAACAAGCACTCTGTTAAGTGTGGAAATAACTCTCGAATGACTGTAGCCGGAAAAGGTAGTGTTAGATTGGTATTTAATGGCACCACCTTCCTCATTCAAGATGTATATTATGTTCCAGAGCTTCGAAACAATTTGTTGAGCATGGGGCAGCTGCAAGAAAAAGGCCTTACCATTCTCATAAAAAAAGGGATATGCAATATTTATCATCCATCCAAGGGCTTGATCGCTCACACAAGCATGAGTGCCAATCGTATGTTTATCCTTTTCAATGAAAGCTCCAACATAACAGCTCCTGTTGAAGAATGTCTACATACTTCCTCTGACCTCACTTACCTTTGGCATCAAAGGTATGGTCACCTAAGCTTTAAAGGTTTGCAGACACTACAGACAAAGAAAATGGTGCATGGATTACCTCAGTTGGAAGCCATAAGTGTTACTTGTGCAGATTGCCTTACCGGCAAACAACATCGTAATTCAATTCCAAAGAAGAGTGAATGGTGTGCAAGTAAGATCTTGGAACTCATACATGCAGATATTTGTGGACTAATAGAGCCCATCTCAAATAGTGGAAAGAGGTATCTTTTATGCTTTATCGATGATTATAGTCGTAAAGGTTGGGTCTATTTGCTTTCTAAAAAATCAGAAGCTTTGGAGTGCTTCAAGTCTTACAAGAAACGTGTGGAAAAAGAAGCATAAGCATCCATCAAGTGCTTACAGACAGACAAAGGAGGAGAGTTTAACTCTCTCAATTTCAAATCGTTTTGTGAAGAAGAAGAAGGAATAAAAAGGCAACTTACCACAGCATATACACCACACCATAATGGAGTAGCAGAACGCAAAAATAGAACAGTTATGAACATGGTACGTTGCATGCTCTCTGCAAAAAAGGTTCCCAAATCTTTTTGGACTGAAGCTGTAAACTGGACATTCTACTTGTTGAATCGATGCCCAACACTCGCTTTGCGGAACATGACTCCTCAAGAAGCTTGGAGCGGAGTCAAGCCTTCAATAAAACACCTTCGAGTTTGGGGCTGCGTAGCACATGTACACATACCGAAGGCAAAACGAGGTAAACTTGATGATAAAAGCTTTCCTTGTATTTTACTGGGTATGAGTGATGTGTCAAAGGGTTATCGTTTGTTTGACCCCAAGTCAAAAAAGATTATAATTAGTAAAGATGTCATGTTTGAAGAAGAGAAGAGCTAGGATTGGGGTCCGAATTATAAAGAGCAAATAGAGGCTGAGTTAGTTTGGAGTGATGATGAATTAAGTGATGGGTTTGAGGAAGACATGGAGTTTGATGGTGAGAATGATGGGGATAACATAAGGGATAGTGAAGCTAGGAATGAAGCAGAAAGTTCACAAGATAGTGAAGCTAGGAATGAAGTAGGAAGTTCACAAGAAAATGTGATTCAAAGGAGAGAAAAGAGGAGGCCAACATGGGTGAGAGAATTTGTGAGTGGTGAAGAGTTAAGTGAAGAAGAAGCAGAGGCCTACATGGTACAAGACATTGTAGGTGATGATCCAGTTTTATTTGAGGAAGCTGTGAAGCATGAGAAATGGAGAAAGGCTATGGATAGTGAAATAAGTGCAATTGAAAAGAATCATACTTGGGAGCTCATGGACTTGCCAACTGGAGCAAAAAAAATTGGAGTTAGATGGATTTTCAAGACAAAGTTGAATGAGCTAGGTGAAGTTGATAAGTATAAAGCACGATTAGTGGCTAAAGGGTACTCTCAACGGTATGGAATTGATTTTTCTGAAGTCTTCGCACCTGTTGCACGCATGGATACAATAAGGATGATTGTGGCACTTGCAGCATGTAAAGGATGGGACATCTTTCAATTGGATGTCAAATCTGCATTCCTACATGGAGAATTGAGTGAAAATGTGTACATTGATCACAAGGTTTACATCTTTCAAAGGGATATGTGAAGAAAGGGAAAGAGCACAAGGTTTACAAGCTACACAAAGCATTGTATGGACTAAGGCAAGCACCAAGAGCTTGGTATAGCCGCATAGTGTTTCATTTCATAAAGGAAGGATTTCAAAAATGTCCAAGTGAACAAACCTTGTTCATCAAAAGAAGCACTGGAGGTAACATATTAATTGTTAGCATCTATGTTGATGATTTGATTTATACTAGCAATGACATGGGCATGATGATTCAATTTAAGAAGTCTATGATGCAAGCTTTTGATATGACTGACCTAGGGAAGATGAGATTCTTTCTTGGCATTGAAGTTTTACAAAGACCAGGAGGGACTTTTGTGTGTCAAAGAAAATATGCCAATGATATCTTGAAGAAGTTTGGAATGACTGAGAGCAAACCGGTGAAGAGTCCAATTGTCCCAGGTTTTAAGATTAATAGAGATGTTGATGGTGTTGCTGTGGACGACACTTACTTCAAGCAGATTGTTGGAAGTTTAATGTACCTTACAACTACAAGGCCGGATATTATGTTTGGTGTGAGCTTAATCAACAGGTATATGTCAAAACCAACTGAGTTGCACTTACAAGCTGCTAAAAGAATATTAAGGTATTTAAAAGGAACTGCTAACTATGGGATACTGTACAAGAAGGGAGGGGAAGAAGACTTGATTACTTTCACAGATTCTGATTATGCAGGAGATGAGGAAGATTCTAAAAGTACATCTGGATATGTTTTCTTATTAGGTTCGAGAGCAGTGTCATGGATGTCCAAGAAGCAACCTATCGTTACTCTCTCAACTACAGAGGCAGAGTTTGTTGCTGCTGCTGCCAGTGCTTGTCAATCAGTGTGGATGAGAAGAATTTTGAGAAATTTAAATCATGCTCAAGAAGGTAGCACTGTTATCATGTGTGATAACAGTTCAACAATTAAACTCTCAAAAAATCCAGTAATGCATGGTAGGAGCAAGCATATTAGAGTGCGTTTCCATTTTTTAAGAGATCTTGTAAAAGATGGGGAAATCGAGCTAGCTAGTGCACTGTGGAACTCAGGAGCAGATTGCAGATTTGATGACTAAAGCTTTGAAACTTAATGCTTTTGAGAAGTTAAGGCAAAGGATGGGAATGCTTGACCTCGCTGAAGTAAACTAACTGCATACTGCAGCTAGTTTAAGGGAGGGAATGAAAAGGTCTTTGCTGTTAGACTCTACTGCTATAGTTGGTTGCTAGAAATTAGGAATCAGATTTTTTATTTGTTGTAAATAATTCCTTGTTTTTAGGCACCGTTACTTTTCAATTATTCATTTTAGTTTAATCATGTAATTATACGTGAGCAATTTTTATGCATTCCGTTAAGGGTTGTAAAAGCTATATAATAGCCCTCTTTGAATTCAATAAAGGCAGGTTGCACGAGTCCATATATTTGATTATTTTCATTCTCTACAATTCAAACCTCTGATTAATTATATTAATGTAAATTCATGTATATTTGTAAATAATAATAATAATATTTTTAAAATAGATTATACCCGCTAACTTGACATCCTGTCCACCACTGCTTGTACATCATATGAAGAATTACTTATATATCATTAATAT